GTGTCTGGGCTATTCAGCCAGCCCACTACTACCTTGGAGTCTCCTTCTACTAACAAATTGTTCACTCCTAATTGACTAGCCATCTGTATACCTTGTACCGCTGCTAGTAGCTCTGCCCTTACAGAATCACCTTCACCCACTGGTCCTGAGAAAAGAGACAACATATTGCTGTCTTTCTCTCAGAATCCTTCCAATTCCGGATGGCCCTGGGTTACCTTCACTCACTGTTCATTTTATACACAATCAATTATAAAACATTTAAATGGTTCCATATTAGTTGTATTTGATATACGATTCTACATTTAATTTGATTTGTTTCACAATTCTGAATAAATGATTTTAAGTCAAAAGATTTAAGCCTAGGGCTCAAACAACCAAAGAACTCTTTCATTTCATGTGTTGCAAAACAAAATGGAACTGCTTATAATGACTGTGAACACTCAAGTTCTACTAGAAGAAATCCTAACCACTCATTTCTTCTAACATTAATAAACAACAAAAACAGTATGAAAAGTTGGCAGGATGCAAATATCCTTAGATTCAATGGCTTTAAACAAATGACCTTGCTTAGAACTCATACGACTCAACATAAAGTGATAAAACTGTAATGATGATGTAGGTGTGGGGTAAAGGAGGGGCTTTAGGTAATCAAGGATGAAGAATAAGGATGGAGAAGCAAGTAGAGAGAGATGAACTCTTGTTGTTACAGTATAAAGCACAGATAAACTCACCTACGCACACAGGCGAAGCACAACACTTTCAAAAGGCATGCACCTGCTGCGCCTTGCGCTTCAGCACAGGCACATGCCTTTTGAAAATTTCCACATTTTTTTAATTTTTTCTGCCTTTTATGCCTAGAAACTGAGCCAGGGACGGGACCCCCAAACAAGTCCATATAAGGATCTTAAATTCTTAATTCCTATAAAAAAAGATTTTAAACCCCATATTTTCTAATCTCGCTCATTCATCCATCCTAATAAGAGATATTTTTAAAAGACAATAAAAGTTGTAAAATCTTTTTTATAGGGATTAGGAATTTAAGACCCTGATATGGACTTGTTTGGACTTGCCTTGAGGGGCTTGGTACAAAGGCGGTTCGTAGAATTAGGAATGCATAATGTTTAACACCACATTAGCTATTTGAAATAATGCAATTGGAATAAAATAAAGAGATCGAGAGTTTTACATGCTAGAATATGTTTTATATGTTATGCTTGATTTTATATTTTAAATATGTTTTACATGTTATATTTATGCATTTTAATTTGAGCTAATAGGTTTTTAAAACATTTATTTTAAATTTTAAGTTTATAACTTTATATTTTTAATTAATATGCTGTTTAATATTTTTTGCTTTTTTTTCAATTTTTGGCATTTGTTCAAATCTTTTGGCTTTTTAATTTTTGGTTTTTTTTTTGAATTTTTTGGCTCGTGCCTCAGGTGCAAAATGACACACGCTTTTAAAACACTGATCTATGCTGAATATATAGGGTACAGGGACTCCACAAGGAGATCCCCCCCGTGTGCCATGTTAGGTCAGTATTCAACAAGTCTGATGCAGCTAAAGCGCCCAGTTAGAATAGTCCATGCAACATAACATAGTTGGAGATGCAATGCCTTAATTTTCCCTTTTTCCAAATAAATCCTTCAATGGTCAAATGGAGAAAACAAGAAACAAATTGCCCCAAGCCAAATATAGATCATAGCAGCAACATAGGTGTCTCACTCATATGGGAGGCAACAGGATTAGGCACTCCAACAAATAAAGATAACGTGGAGGCGACACAACATTTTAATATTTCTCAGTAAGCAATAGGATGCAAAAGTAGTTGTTATTTGTGAATCACAAACAGAACACAATCATGCATCTCCAAATAAGGAAATACACAAGAAAGCATATCTATGGAAGATTACCTTGCTCCCCATAATGAGCTGCTAAAATTTCAGGTGGAATTCCTTGCATTCCAAAAATTTCAATTTCGGTTGATTCTCTGTCAGGTTTAGCATTAGGAACTCTGTGACAGTCATTGCATCAAGGATAATCAGTCCATGCAACACAACTTACAATAGCAACGTAATAGCTAACACGTTACCAGTATAATATCATATCATAGGAGAAGAAGTAATAAAACATTTCTATACGAGTACCAGGCACCTTGACAAAATGGAGGAAACCAGAAAGATTGGTAAAATTTAAGTACATGCATACATATATACCTATAGAAAATTAGTTTGCTGGATTCTTTGGGTTTGAATTCTGTTCGAGAAAACATTCAAATAGACTATACTATACACCTGGACACAGTATTGTCAATAACCACGGGGCCTCACATCTAATAGAAAGCTCAAGGAAAGCACTGCATTTGATCTCCCACAGATAGGAAGGAAGATTTACAGGACAGAAATAAACAAATACTGTTAAATTCTCACCAACCAACCAAACAATAGGATACTCCTTCAAAGCTAAAGATTCATATTCCAGACCAGATTCAGAGAGTCAATACAGTTTCTCCAGTGTTGACTCTTTATAGTTAGAATATGCTACTAGCACTAGCTTTGAACCACCGGCATGTCTATTACCATTGACTAAAAGGCATGTTAGTTCAGAACGTAAAGCTATTAGAACTAAGTTTTTCAAAGTTTTAATGGATACAAGATAACCAGATACCAATTTACAAGACACCAGACAGCCACATCAACTCATACTCCCCTCAAGCTACCAGTAAGAACTCATGCTCCAGGTAATAGGAAATGGAAAATTAACGGTATTCTTTTCGTCGGAATTCCTGATTCCATCCACTATATAAATCCAATATTGTTTTCATGGCAGCATTTCAATCAACGTTACGGTAACCCATCGCCACTGTCCTAACAGCGTGGCCGCATTGTAATAGAGCAACAATAGCATACTTTTTCTACTTCATTATAAACTACAAAGAAATTTAACCAAGCTTTTACCCGGAAAATGAAAAATAAAATAGTGACCTAAAATTATAAAAAAATAATAATAAAAAAAAGGAGAGAATAACCTCCATTCGAATTATGAACAAGCTTTTATCCTTTATCGAAAAACATCCCAATTTTATATTTTCAAGTTTTCATATTGCTACGCGTTACAGATGGGAAAAAAAGACTTTGAAACCAATCACGTTACAAATGACGCAATAGAAACAATCAAGAAAACACATAATCAGAAGAGCAGAAAAAGATAAGCAAAACAAGCATGCTTGGAAAAAATACCAAATAATCGATTTTTTTAGATCTTTCCATGAAGGTAATTAGAAAACATACTTTGTGACGGTCTCCTTGTGAACCTGAAGAACATGAATGGCCATTCCCCCAGCCGTGGATAGCTTTTTATGGCAAACATGACATTTGAAATGCCTGGCTTTCTGGTGCTGAACAAGGATCTTCTCGTCGTCGAATTCTCGATCGCAGTAGTAACACCAGACCTTCGACGGCCTCTTCTTCTTCTTCCCCATCTCCCTCTCTACGGCGCTCCTCCTCTTCCGGGTTAGGGCTTCTTCCCCTCTTCTCTTCCTTCCTCTGCGGCTGAAGAAACAATTAGGGTTTAATCCCCTTCCGTCACGACCAGTTACAGCTAGGGATCCTAGGGTTAGGGTTTATGCCTCTCTCTCTCTTTCTCACCTCTCTCCAAAGAAGACAACGAAGAGAACTCTCTCTCTCTCTCTCTCTGCTCAATGATTTCTTCGGTTTATTGAACGGGAGAATATTAATCGAGGGAGGGTTTCGCACGATCTTCCCATTCTGATTGTCAAAAAGGAGAGAGCCCCTTTCTCCGGGTGCGGGAGGGACTGGGGAGTGGGACCTTTGATTGATGTATATAGCATAATTCTTTCGCACCGGACAAATCTGTTCTTTGAAGTTTTCCTCCGTTGGATGGGAATCCAACGAAACCATCTTATAGAAAATGTAAGTGAACTACACTATAATGGTAGAATACTAAAAGCGACCCTCAACCAAGGTCGGCCCGAGCAAATCCGGGGCCTGGGGAGGGTTAGAAGACCGTATACTGGAACCCGCGTTCCGTTTTTTTTGCCAAAAGAAAAACTCAAAAGCTGCCATTTATGAAGGAGCATCACTACAAAAAGGTCTTTGGTTGGAGTTGATACGCGACCTAGTGCGGACAGCTCGGATAGTGGACTCAATAGGTCGCTTGGTCGAGCTGCAATAGAGATCAGAGTGACCGGGTTGTTTTATCTAGGGTGGGTATTCCGATGCTTTAGCAAACTGAATATATGATTACAAGAATGCAAGAGAGCTAGAGTGCTTGGGAGCTATAAATCATGCGTACCTTTTGAGGTTGGAGGTGAGGCATTTATATAGGCGAGTTGCCAAGAGCCTTACGAAGCACGTCCGGGATCTCCGGCCCATTTGATCCAAAGGTGGTTTCACGCTTGGAGGTGGACTCCACGTAAATGGATAAGGCTTATCCAATTGCACCTGAAGTGAGCGTGGTGATAACTGGCTCTTTCGGCGTAGCGTCGTAATCTTGGGGAAGTCGAAGATGATAACCCGCTTAAGGAGGAGGTCGCCCAACAAGTCGCAAGCTAAACTCATGTCAGGTCGGCAGAAGCGGGTCGCCTCTCATGTCAACCTGATGTCTTGTAGGGGCCAAGGCAAACCTCTTACACTAACCGGAGGTCCCGCCTAGCTATTCGCAATTCGGTTTGCCGAGGTGGTGCCAAGGTGTCACCCAGCTATTATGCAATGCCACGTGTCATGATGTCATTAGAGGACCAAATTATCCCTCATCAATCGTCCCCCACTCCCAAATCCGGGGTGATCAGTCCGGCGAGGGAGTAGTTATAACTTGAGGTGATTTGGTCCATTCTCCATCCTCGTTTGTGGCCCGATCAATGGTTCGGGATCGGGTCAATTCAGTCAGTCTAGCCTAGGCGCAAGGTAGCACACCAGGGACACACAGACGCCACACAACTATTAGGTCGCATGGACATAAAAAATGCGCTAAACTGATTTCACCTTAGAATGTGAATCGCCACACCTTTGTAAACCATTGGGTCCAACCGATCTCAACCATTCATAGTTCGATCCATCCGTTTATAAATAGGACCCTTGGGGGCCCATTTTTCTCGTCCCTGTCTTTGGACTTCCTAGTGATATCGCAGAGCTCGGTGTTATCTAAGTGATGGGTAATGTCGGCGAGGTCGGTTTGTTCATCTTAGGTGAGTTATTTCCCTAAGCTCCATTTCATTCACAATGTCTAGTAGTGAGTCCAGGGAAAGAGGGGGGTCCGTCTTGTCGAGCCGTGGAAGGGACCTTGGCTCAAGACCGACGTGGTTCTCATAAGAGGGTCTCATCTCCACATAGGGTTAAAGCACTAGACTAGTTCGGTCCCTCTGAACTCTCTACTATAGCTCATAGCTCGGTATAGGATTCCGAATGAGTTCGGATGCTTTCTTCCGCTTGAGGGATACCTGTGAGAGTACGGGGACGACGAGATCACTACCTTTGAGGAAGCCTTGAAAGTGGGTCTTCGGTTCCCCCTTCATTCGCTGATCCCCAAGGTACTAAACTATTACAACATTAGTTTAGAACAGTTCGACCCCAACTCCATTAGGACTTTGGTCGGCACCATCCCGTTCTATCACCACATTGGCTTCCCCCTAGATGTCAAGACCTTCGTTAGCCTATGCCATATAAAGAAGAACCCTTCTAGCACTCCTGGGATGTACAATTATTATTTGTCCTATCAACCTGGGTGTAAGTTGTTAAACGGCTACCCCTCTAAGGTACTAGCATGGAAGAGGAAGCATTTCTTCCTTGACCTGAGTGGCAGATGGTCGTTCTTGACGACCTGGAGAGAGGGAGTGAGGGACTCCGAAGAGGAAATTCTAAGTGAGTGACTGTAGGCAAGAGTGCAGGTCCTACTGGACCGGAAATCCATGCTGAATGAATATTTAGCCGAGGAGAAGCTGATCTAGGTCGGGCTGAGTCCTCCAAGTAGGTTGTCACCTCAGCCTTGGGCATTTTCTTTTTCTTTACTTTCTTTTCATTTTACAGTTCGGCTTACCCTTGAATTTATTGTGTAAGAGCAATGTCATTTATGCCAACTTCTGGGCTATTCCAAGCCATGAAAAGGAAGAAGAGGAAGGTGGCTCACTAAGAGGCACCTCAAGTTGCTACTCCAGAGACTATCATGCGGACTGTAAAGACCGTACCGGTTGCCAACCTGGTCGAGGGAGACCGTCTAGAAAGGACCTTGCTAGAGCCCGAGGTTGCCTGTGTATCCGAGGAGCCCCTTCCACCACCCGAGGTCGGGGTGCCCGGAGGCTTGAACGCCAAAACCGATCCCGAGGAGAGGCACACCACCATAGACTTTCGGACCGCCCTGGTGAGGAGCAAGGAGGTCATCTTTTCTGAAGAGGTCACAAGGCTTTACGAGTCACATCCTAGTGAGCTAGGGGGAAAGATTATGTGTTGCCTCATGGTGGTATGTTCCCGACATTCCCGTTGTATTCATCCTGACATTCATTCTTTATCTCTTTTATAGGTGAATACTTTGCCACACTCTTTGTTGGGGCAAGTTGAGGGTAGTTTGGATAAGGCCCAGGCTATCAAGGAGGAAGCGACGGAGTACAGGTCCCGAATTGAGTGGGTTGTACATCTCATCGGTGACCTGAAGGACGAGGTCATGGTGGAGTGGGGTCGTAAGGTGTACTTGGCGAGGGAGGTTGAGAAGCTAACCGAGGAGCTTGTGTGCAAGGACCAACTGTTATAGGAGGAGGTTGAGCTCATCGAGCAACAACCCAAGTTTCTTGACGATGTCTGTGCTGCCGAGGTCCGTGCAGTTCAAGAGTTAAAGACTTCACCCAACTTCTTGAAGAAGAGGAAGGAGTTCGGATCTGGTGCCTTTCATCAGGGATTCAAGCTATGCCAGATGTTAGTATCTTTGGTGTGCCCGGAGTTTGACCTCAGCAAGTTAAAGTCCTCAACGTGCAATAATGAGATCAGGGGTCAGGTCGATCAAGAGCCTGACTTTGAGGAGGAGAGGGATGAGGTCGATGTGGTTAGTGGCGGTGCGGACAGCGGAACAAATGTCGGCATGGAAGATGTGGAGGCACACAAGTCCTAGAATGTCTAACTTCTTTGCCTCTTTTCTTGGACCCCCAATGTATATATATACTATATGTCGAGCCTCCGATCTCGGTGGGGATGGGCCACCGAGGTGAATTCTGTTGGATTCCCATTTCAGTGCACCAGTTCTGGAGCTTAATGTGTTCGAACTACTTCATAAAGTAGTCAACCGTGATGACCAAGAACCTCCTCTACCTGGTCGCAAGTGGAAAGGGACTGAGGATATCTATTGCTCACTGTGCAAATGGCCATAGGCTGGTAAGCTACCTCAGGTCAACAGGGGCTGGTGTGGTTTGTTGGCATGCCGCTGACACTTATCGCACTTCCGAACTAATTCTAGTGCTCCACCTTTATCGTGGGCCAATAATAGTCCTACTGTAGTGCCTTCTAGGCGAGTGCCCTACCCCCTAGGTGTCCTTTGCAGATACCTTTGTGGATCTCGCGTAGCACCTGGCTTGCTTCAGTTGGGCGCAAGTAGCGGAGGTAGGGGAGCGTAAGCAACCAAAGATATAGTTGCTCGCTTATGATTACATAGAGAGTTGACTATCGCTCTACCCTCCAAGAAGCATTACGCTATACAAGTAAGGTCCCGTGGAGCAAATAGTTAACGAGTAGATCCATCCAGCTTTGTTCTATAGCCAAAACAGGAGCAACCTCTTCTATCACCCTTTATATGCTAGGGTGTGGCTGGCCTTTAATGTAGATTATTCTCCTCGTAGTGTCCATTGCACCGGCCAGCTTCGAGAGTGCATCAACTAAGTGTTCTCGGACCTCGGCACTTGTTGAATGTACTAAGAGTCGAAGTTGGCAGGAGCTTTCTAACCTTGGCCAGGTAGGCCAACACGACGGGCTCCTGGGTTTCATACTCCCCATTCACCTGGTTCACCACTAACTACAAGTTGTTGCACACCACGAGATGTCTCATACCGACCTCCTTCGCTAACGATAGACCGACTATGAGCGCATTATATTCAACTTCATTGTTTGATGCTCAAAACGCGAACCAGAGAGTGCATTCTAGCTTTACATTGCTATGTCGATAGAGCATCAACCCACCTCCGCTTTTCGCATTGGTTGAACAAGCCATCCACATAGAGGATCCAATGCTCCCTGTCCCAAGTCACGAAGGGTGTCACACTAGTTGACACCTCCGAGGTGGTCATGAGCTCAACAACTTCAGGGGTCATGCGTGCTGAATGTACACTTAGCGACGAAGTTAGCCAGTACCTACGCCTTGACCATTGGGTGCAGCTCGAACCAGATGTATTCAATGAGCTTGACTGCCCATTTTGTCAGCCTACCCGAGACCTCAGGCTTCTAGAGGACTAGCCTAAGGGGTTGATTGGTTAAGACTATGACAGTGTGGGCCTGAAAGTAAGGATACAATTTATGGGCTGCTAGCATCAACAAGAAGGCCAACTTCTCGATGTTTGGATACCTAGTCTTCGTGGGGTGTAGGACTTTACTCACATAGTAAGCAGGTCATTGCACCCTGTCTACTTTTCAGATTAGAACCGAACTGCCTAAGGGGTTGATCGGTTAAGACTACAACTGTGTGTGCCTGAAAGTAAGGACGCAACTTATAGGCAGCTAGCACAAGCGAGAAGGCCAGCTTCTCGATGTTTAGATACCTGGTCTCCGTGGCTTGTAGGACTTTACTCACGTAGTAGACAGGTCGATGCACCCTATCTACTTTTCGGATTAG